TTGTTTGTTTTTTTTTTGACTGAGTTGGAATGCTGGCATCTAACAAATGTATGAGACAACTTTGCACAGTTCAGGTTGGAAAGCAATGTGTACAATTGAATGATGATCAAGAGTCAGAGAACGAAGCATTCATAACTTGTGTGGCCAAAGCACTCTCACAGAGATTAAAGCCTATGGCTGAAGTGCAAGAACTGAGAACTTTCTCTTCTTGCAAATAATACTATTAAGATCTGTAATTCATGACAGTACAAAAAGAAGTCTGAGGTGATGCAAGTCTGGAAATTAATGCAAAATGTTTTAGGCATTAGGGCCGTGACTGTCTGCCCTAATTTACGTGGTAGTGTTTTAAAGAACGATCAACTGTTTGACGTTGCTCGTGATCTCCAATGAATCTCAGTTTGCAGAAGTGATTCAGAGATGACAAGTCTCTAAATTTGGCTGCGCCAGTATTCAGCATTGTGCACTTGCCCACTCAACACCCACTGCTTCCAAACATAGATGTAGCGTTCAGCAGCTCATACTTAATACTTTCTGCCTCAACTTCTCACACATCGTGCCTACTTCATGCTGGTGATCCTTCCTTTGAAATGTTGCAATACTTTCATGCTTTTGGGACTTTAAACTCAGCAAGGGACATTTTACAGAAATGCCTTCCAGTTGGCACTGTGCTCAAGTTAGAAGTGTCTGGGAAAAAGAAAAAAATAAATGCATTCACCTTTCCACAAATCCTCACCCTCCCATATATACAGAGACTTGTTGTAAGTCAGGAGCTAAAATACCAGAAAAGTTTATCCTTACAAAGCCAGATATATTTTCTATAAGCACTTTATATGTGTCAGGTTCCTTCACAGGTACCCTCACCAGCTCCATCTCTCCATCTTACTACTGTGGGAAGATGGAGACAGACTTATCACTCAAGCAGAAACAGCAGCAGCTGCATACACCTTTCTCTGTCAGAGCAATAGCAAGTGTTATCAGCCAACAAGTTACTTGAATGAAGTCCTGAATGGTAATGCTTCAGGTTCTGCTGCTATACTACGTGAAGTTGGAAATTTTCTTAATGTATAGGGAACAATATGCTTTAATTTAAAAATGAAGAATACTAAAATTACTTGTCTAAAAATAAAGGGGTTTTGTTGGTATATTTTTGTTTGCTTTTTTAAATACAGAGTTACATACCTCATTTTGACACACCACCTGTGTGTGAGTGCACTTTGTGAGAGATTAGCTATACAAGCCTGAGAAAGCTTAAAGCCTAAAGCCTTCAAGCCCATTTTGGAGAGTAAGCCCCGCTGTCTTAAGGTATTAAGAACTGTAAAACATCTCATGGGCTTAAAGCATTGCTCACATTAATTGCCATTGCAACTGAATCTGTGAAAATGCAATATCTTCATGCCTTGTCTGTACTAATGACTTTATGGTAAGGAAGCAGCTTCTACAAAATATACTCTCCTACCTTCTCTCCAGAAAGGGAGGAATCAAAAGGGTATAAAGCCATTAGCAGCTAAGCAACTCCTTTCACAACTAAGCAAAATTTTTGGAAATGAAAGAATTTTGGTTTCAAGCCAAAAGTCAAGTCCCTGAGTAACCCTCTCGCTATGCGACTATGCAGCTGCCTTGCCAACCCAGGCACTAGGGACGTTCAGCAGACACAGACCAGTAATAAGCAGAGCATGCATGCACACCAGCTACGCTCAGGACCCAGACACAAGAAATTGTGCAGGTCCGGTGGGCGCAGCACCACCAAGAAGCGCTGCCTGCGATGCAATCCATCTACACCCCCAACACCGGCTGGGTCCCAGCTCTGCTGCTTCTGAAGTTGTGCTGATGCCAGTATGGGCTGTAAGCACACTGAGTGAAACACCGCCTTTCGATTCCTGCCTTACTCTAATAAATAACTTAAGATGAATGCACTTTTATTAGATAAGTTTATCTCACATTTCTTTCTTGAGCAAAATAGCACTGCTATAAGCATAGCCAAAGTTGCTTTTCTGAAGTGAAGTTCACTCCAGAACATTTACTTTCCAAAAGCAATAAATTACTTAGAGATAAAGAAAATGATGATCATTTCTATATGTGTAGCTGCCTTAGCACCAAGTCAGAAAATCAACTGCTTTCTCAGACCTCCTCCACAGTCAAGGAATGTGCTTAGCAGTTGTGCCAACAGCTGCAGGTTGCTGGGATGAATTTTGAGGTTACCGAACACTGACTCATCCTCCTTCATTCCCTACTTCCAGAAAAGCACTGAAAGATACCCATCAATCCATAAGTGGGATGTACTGAAGCAGGTCTCAACAGGCTATGTCAAACAGGTATATCATTACAGGAAAAAAGTACACAGCTATCAAATAATACGTTTCAGTGAAGATGCTAGAAGCATTCTTCTCCAATTGTGTTTGATGTTATTTTTGGATGTGAGAACTGAATTTTGAAAAATCAATAATGTTACTGCAAGGCTCTCCAGTACTGCTGGGGAGGATGGTAAGCTTCATTAGTTCCCAAATTATTTGTTTTGCTAAGTTTTTGGCAGCAGCTGAAGGAAGAAAACCACTGGGGCTGAGTGTCTGAAGTGGAGTTACTCATCCAACAGTGCAAGCTGTAGGTCTGAAAACTCAATATTGGTTCTCAAAATGCATTTTGCAAAGGCTTTCCCCACTAATCTATACTCCACCATAAAATCAAACAACAATCCCATTATAAAAAAGAATTAATAAAGAAATAAGTGCCTTACCTGATATTTCAATCACAAGAGGCTCCTGAGACAGAGAATTCTGCTCCCTTGCACTCAGAAAAACAGAAGAGCACTCTACCCTGCCACGCAAGTAAGTGAGTAAAAGAAAATAAAGTTTCACAGTAATTACTCCATTCAGAACTGAACCCATGAAGACCACAGAAGGTAGAAACAAAAGGTACCTGAAAAGCATGTGTTCCTTTAAAAGTTCATTACAGCAGCCAAACAGAAAAATCTGAACAAATTCATTCAAACTGAAAATTAAAACCAAAACTCATATGTGCATACAGTGTCAAAGCTGTGCTTTGAATTGACACTCAATTAATGCATACAGTAGACTGGGGAAAAGCCTTTAAATAAATAAGGTACAATCCGATTGATTTCATTATTATTGCCTCACTGGAAATCTGTCTTCCTTTGGGGCTTATCAGTCTCATTCCTATCAGATCACAGTAATAGTCAGGAAAAACAAAATAAAATATTAAGCTACAAGTAAACATTGAAATTCCTTGTTAAACAGTGATATTAAAGAATATTAAAAGTGTAAACATCCCAAGTGCTTCTTAGGAGTATCAGAGTCAGTATAGTTCATGAATATAAAATAAAAGACAAGCTGTATTATTATCAGCTAAAAGCTGAGAACTCATCAATACGATGATCTCCTGCTTCTTACCCCCATCACAATCTCAAATTCAAGTACGTAGCAGCAAAAAAATAAATTAGGTGAAAGCAAAACAAGCCAGATACTTCACAAATGTCTCTTTTGTTGCAGAGCACCTTCATGTCCCTGCACTCCCAAGGTCTCTCATACACTGCTGGGACTCAAGCTGCTGCTTTCCTTCCAATGCACATATAAATGTCCCAAAACAAACTGTTAGGAAACTCAATTTTTTTATAGTGCTTTTAAAATTAATGAAAATTAACAATAATTTCCTAATCCTGATTGCTTGAGGTAGCATAGAGACATTCAGACAATGCAGCAAAGCTTTCAGAACTAATTTGGGTGAACAGTTAAAATCTTTTTCTGGTGTTTGTTACTACCAAGAAGTAAATTCAGGCAACTCCATATGCATTGCCGTCCACCTGAGAGTAGATAACCTTGGCAAAAACTTTTTTTAAAAGAAAAAAAATTAGAAATGTGAGCATGGTAAACATTTTCCCTTCCAACCAGCATGTATTAAACATAGTGCTTCATCTGACAGTTGATTAGTTGATGCAAGTAGATGCAGCAATAAGCAAGTCCTAATACTTACGTTGAGAGGAAAAACAGATAAGAAAAAATATTCCATATCTAATACAACTGAGGAGTAAAAATAATGCATAAAAGAACTCACAAAAAAAAAAAAGATCTCTCTGTTTAAAACCTTCCCATATTTTCATTAAAGGATTGGTTATTCATTTGTTGCTCATTTTTCAACACTCATAACACTAAACTACCTTTAACTGTTCCAGTGGTAAAAATATTCCCCCGTTCTGAGTCAGCCTCACAGGCTGCAGGCAAATGCTCAGAAAGAGGCAATTAACAAAAGCTGCTTTCATTCTGAAGTCTTGAAGACTTTCTGCTCTGCAACATTAGTCTAAGCACAGGCTACATAAACGTCCACAGACACTCACTAAGATGGAGCTGTTTCACTTATGGAAACAGAGTTGGGAATACATTTATCGATCTCCAAATGCAAGCCTGAAACTGAGAAGGGTTGAAATTGTAAGAGAAATGAAAAGAAAGCAAAGAATTTCCTGTGAGAAACCATTCTTAACAAGCTCACTTGAGTGTACTGTGGAAACCACTACATTTTGCCGTATTTGCTTCAGTGTAACTTCAAGTCACATTACAACCTACTCCCCTAAGAGCAATGGAACAGGGAAATAAGCAGACAGGCTACTTTGTGGTAGCAGAATAATCTCACCCCTCTATCAACTCCAAACAGAACTTCTGTTTAGGAAACCTGATACGAAGTATCATAAAATATTAGCACGTAAGTGATCCTTTCAGATTATTAGAAACTTTTCTACTTAAAGAAAGAAAAAAGATGAGAAACATCCACACTGCTGGGCTGCTTCTGAAAGTTCAACAAACTCCAGGTGTGATATGATATACCTGTTTGACTTTGGTGCATTTGTACCAGCTAACAGAAGCAACTTAATAACACAGCAAATGGGCTGAAGCCTGACAACACTTCAAGAAGCTCCTAGCAATCCAAATATATCTACGTTTCCTTTGAAAATACTTAGCAATAAATATAATTACTGTAGGAACAATGGCAACATAAAGAACTACTTAATACAGTCAAGTAACAAGCTGTTACATTTAATTTAAAATTACCTTTTATTTTTCACAAGTTTTTCCAACACATTGTGCATCTTGGCACGGTAGACTTTGAGATAGTTTGCTTCAAGTTTCTTTAAATTACAAACAGTAGATACAGTAGGATTATTTGAAATGGATTTCTTTAAAACAAATGGCAAGTTAAGATCCTTCGGTTTAAAAGAGGCTTCCGCAATTTCATTTTCCTGATAGAAAATTCAAGTAATTTTAAATAATAGAAAATTGTCTTTACAAAATATCCTGCTATTAGAATTTATCAGCACTGTGAAAATAAACATCAGATTTCTAGCATCAATTGGGTGCAATTACACATTTAGAAAAATAACTCATTTGAAAGGAAGGTCACTTGGTGAAGAAAAATAAATTTCCAAGAGGATGAGTTCTTAAAACAAATGATAAAAACATTTTTTCTTAGCTAAATTATTTGTTACTCCTTCTTTGCAATTTTTTTTTCTCCTCTAATGACAAAAATGAATTAAGACGACATGTTACCAAGCTGTTTTCCCTTCAGTATGTACCAGCTGATGGAGTTATTGCTTGACTCCCAATGACTGTATATGACATTCACTCCATACTGTTTTTATGCTGTGTTTTTTAATCGATTGGTACCAAATACACATACCACACAACTTCAGGTGGGTCACTTACAGAATGGAAACCACAATAATTTTTTCAGGTAATTTTGCATATAGGATGTTTTTTTTTTCCCAACAAAGAATGAATTAATTATAAAATGTTTTTCCATTTTCCCTCCTCACCTATTCTTCAAGACAGCAGAATGGAAAAATAAGCAGGACACGTTTACTTTGTAACTCAAGGCTCAGAGCACATATGAGAAATGTTCAACAATTTAAAAACAGTTTCTTTTTTCATTCTTTTAGCCCAAAGTAACCTTGCTGTCTGGGAACAGTAACTTCGTGTATCACCATCTTCCAGAAGAAAACTATAAATAAATGTTTATGTAAGGAACCAAACACTGATGTTGAAGAGGGCAAAACAATAAAATTAAGGGTCAATAAATGATACTGCAATGTATCTTGTGCCATTCAAGATAGGAAGTCCTTCATGTAAATGAGTGAGTCTTCCTGGGTGCATAAAACTCCATCCTTTCCTTGGTGATTCAATGGAGCAGTTGTACCTAAGAAATTTACATCCACCTCCCTGTAGCAAAAATAAAAACAAAAAGAACCCCATCACTACACTCATTTACCTGTGTTTTTATATGACTTCTTTATATTTATTATATAAATTATATATATCTATTATTAATAATAGACTTTTTAAGATTTGTCCTTTTTAATCAAAAAGCAAAGAAAAAAAAAAAAAACCACTGCAGCAATATTGTTAAAATGACATCACCTTCAGAACAATAAGTAACAAGCAGGATATAGCAACAAAAAAAGATTTCTTTTTGATTCTCTTTAACATTCCCTCTTTCAATCAGCATCTCTGAGGAACAGTTCATCAATAACAGTAGTGTAGGCAATATAAGAGTGGAGCAAATCAACATCCACCTCCACCCAAGGCAGCACTTAAATTTTAAATAAATTATTCCAACTGTCAGTTTCAAACTGAAGCAGTGTTTTCTAAAGGAAGAAATCTGGGAAAATACTTTAAAAAAGGACGCCGCAAAGAGAAGCTTATTCAACCTGCTAATACTTTAATTATTTGAAACAATTACTTTCTACTGCAAAAAGATGAAGCGTTTCAAAAATGTTAAAAAGAACATCTCTGAAGTTTTTCTTAAACTTCTTCTCAGCACCATCTGAAGCCATTTTGACTAATTCAACCTGACTTCATCAGCAGGTACGGATCCCGCAACTGAGAAAGTTTAGTACTCCAAAACACCACTCAATAGTATATCTCAATTTGTGTCACACATATTTTCCCCTTCAGCACTGTCTTTAAGCATGTCTGTTTGGGTTCTTGTTTGGAAACAATATTAGACACTTAAAGGATGATGTTTTTTAGCTCGATAAATAACTTGCCAACTTACTTGAAAATCCTCTCCTACTTTGTTGAGTGCAATGTTGATTGTGAATGTAGAGGAGTCGTGATGAGGTCTGAGCGATCGTTGTCTGTCAGGGCTATATTTTACAACAAAATTCAATAAAGCATATCCCTGCAACAAAATATACAGTCAGACTTCAACACGTGAACTTCATTGTCATACAAAGGGCTGTGGGTTTTCTTTGCTTATTTAAAAATCAGTTAAGAACACAACACTCATCTGTAATACTTCTACATTACTTGTTAGCTCACCAAACAAAGCATACAGTTCAATAAAATACTTAGAACTACTTATTCCATTTAGAAATTATCTGCAGCTTTTAAACACGTACCTTGGTATAATAACCAGCAAACACTTTTAATGTTACTGGTGCAATGAATTCTCTTATGAAGTGCAGCCATTCGTTATCCAGTCCAATTTGCTTCATGTGGATATCATCAGTTGGGACATTTTCATAACCACCAGAAATACGGCTGTCCTAACGAAAACACCATAAATAGCTTTGAAATATGAGCATGGAATGCTTCTGGCACTTCTACAAATATGTAGAATCTGCAGAATCACAAAACTGCAGAGTAATGCTTTAGTGGGCGTATTTGAGCTTGATGCACAATAATCTCACAGCCAACTGCCATGATATAAATTGCTGAGATATCAATGGGCAAGAACTGGGCAGTTCTTAGAAGGTGAGTCAATATTTGGACATGCTGCCTGTAAATAAGGATTTCACTAGGTACCATTTTTAATTATCGAGACTTAGACGCAATAGAAGTTAGATTAGAGTACAGGCATCAACTCATCGTGATAATAAACATGTTAAAATGCTTTTATCTTAAAAGTATGCTAAAAAAAAAGTTTCTCTGGGGGCTCCAATCTGCAGTAAAACCTTGACTGTAATTCATCTCCTTCCAAATATTTGTGAAAATGACAGATGTTCCTGTTCTCAAAACTTTGATTTAAGCAGTAGTTAATACTTCAAGCCTGGTGCAAGTACTAACACAGTACTTCATAATGTCTGTGGATACAAGGGACAAGTCTGATAAATCAAGACGTTAGAGAAAGTCTGAAGAATTATTAAAGACCAGCCACCACTGGGTAACTTGGATAACTACTACAGCAGCTGTCGCTGTTAGTGTCTGAATTTTCTAGTTCAAGGTTAACTGAGGATGTCTCTAAATCTACTGAACATCAAACTGCATAGCAGACAAAATTCAGTATTTTACTCTACACAGCAGATGTCTTGGGTTATTAGCATTTCTTAGACACTTTGTTTATTGCAGCATGCTGTGGCTTATTATAAATGTACTCTCTTAGTATGGACATGTTTATAAAGGCTGACACTTACTTGGTGTTTTCCACCAGACCATTGTCCAAAATGTTCCATTTCTTCTACCAATTCATCACAAGCAGTGTCAGAAAATATGGGAAACCAAAAAACATCTGGACATGGCTATGGAAAGATGAAATGAAATCTATATTAATCTCTTTTAGTGAAGTTGTTAGAACAGTTAAGTTTATTTTCAATTGCTAAACATCTCATTCCAAGGATATTTTCACTTTTCTGTCACTAAAAAAAAAAAAAATTAAAAAAAAAAATTAAAAAATCAGCAATTCTCTTCTGTGTCATAATTTGCACACATTTAAATAATTATATTTTGACATGGTCCACAAGTGTACTCTGACAGAATGAAGCAAAAACTAAGAGCTACCTTATAAGTCATAACCCAGCATTATCAGCTCTGTCACTGTACCCAAACATTCTGTGCATTGTGTGATGAATCTAGTCATTCACACAAGGCTCATTAAGAAAAATACTTTTAAAATTAGTATGCTTTTAAATACAAAAGCAGTTTATCCTGGCTGCTTAATTAAACAAAGTTCATTAAATGACTGTGGATAATTGACATAGAAATAAGTGTCTAAGACTGGTTCAAGAATTATCTTGGAAGTGCTATTTACAGACAAGCTATGTGAAAGCAGCCAGCCAGACAGAAAAAGACTGAAGTATCCGGCAAAAGCCTTCATAGCTACAGACCTTACAGAATTCAAAGCAGAAAAACAACCTTGCAAGAAAAGCGTATTTAAGAGCTTGCCTTACATTTGCTTTGCAACAGCAATCTCTTAACAAAAATTATGTTTTCTGCTGGTTGTACTAGCTTGTTCTAATGAATTAATTACAATTTTACTTTGAAGAAAACAATTACTTGGACAATTCCATTATCCTGAGCAATATAGCAATTATTTTTTGGACTTATCTCAGTTTTCTCAGTGACAAATTCACTAGAGGTCCAAAACCTCAAACTGTTCAGCCACAAACCAAAATAGCATTAACATGGAAACAATTGCTGTATGCCAATTTATTACGTCAGACTCACAAATAAGACTACAACTACTTGTCTCTTTCAAAGAGTATTTATACCCACCTGTTCTACTATATTATCAGTAAAGATCTTTGAATAGTTGGGATTTATGTAGGTTTCCTTCCAGTCCTGAAAAAGAATGATTTTAAAATATTCAGAATTCATTCAAATGAAAGAAGAAAATCATTTTATTCTATTCACGGGCCCTACTGAAAGCACAAGAAACAATTAAACCATTTCTTATTATCACAGAAGAACTGGATCTCATCATACCTAAATTGTGAAAACTGTTTCATCAGGGCCATTTCTCATTACTGTTGTAATCAGTAATTGATTAATTGATATTAAATGGGTGGTGGAGAACACCACTTATTGCACTAGATGTATGCTGTGCGCTATTTATTTAAATATTTTCCATGTAAAGTCTTTAAGTCCAAAGTAGTTAATGATATAAGGTTGTTTTTTGTTTGGTTTTTTAATAAATAACTTTCTAATCGATTGTAAGGAACATACCACAGGATTCTCAAATATCTGCCAGAGGTCATTGTTGTAGTGGGAGGTGTTATAATTGGCTGTGGAGATAAGTCTTCCAAATTCATGTCTGTTTGTAATGTACATGAAAACACCCTACACCAAACAGAGAAAACATCATTAGCAAAACTGTCCATCGTAGCAAAATCAATGTTTTATAAGTCTCTATGCCTGCAATTCTTTAATAAAATATCACATCCATACAAAAACATTATACAAGTGTTGTTCATTAAATGTCTTAACTCTTCAAATGGTTCACAATAGTCACAAACTAGAGTTCATGATTTCTTGTTTATAAGCATTGATTGAATATATTCATTAAGCAAGTTAAACCAAAACATATATTCTTCATAATGCAAAAACAAAGAAAAGAGAAAACAGAAGTGAAGTGATTGCTTGTTTTCCAGAAAATCTAAGCAGACACACTGGCAGTATCTATTCTCAAACTGATGAAGAAAAGTATAGTTTCTGCTTAAATACTGAAAAAACAAGCTAAACAAGAAAAAGTACTGGAAAGCAGAACAAGAAACATATTTCAGAGTATTCACTACATGATTCTTCTTGTGCCTGAAATAAAAAGGTTTTGGCGAATACAGAATATAAGAATTTTCATATCAGGGTGCAAAATAAGTGAGCACTTTGAAGTATGTTCCCCTTAGCAAATACTGGAAAATTATATGCAGAATATAAAGTGTGGTAAGACGGTTTCATTATCAAACTATTAAGATGTTAACAGAACTCATTTGATTAGAACTGATGGCAGAAAATAAGGTGGTTTTGTGATTTGTTGGTGTTATTTTTTTACTTTTTTTTTTTTTTAAGAACTTGAATATTTATTTTATTCACCGCTTTTCAGATTCAAATGTTATTTGAGAAGCATTTGCGATCAAGATTTGTGGCAAGAAGGCATCCCCTTGGATATTTTCTTATTTTTAATCTATTCTTTTGTCTGAAAGAGAGTCAAGTTGTTAGAATGATAATGATTGTTACAGACGTGCCTTGTTTTGGGCACCTATCAAATCATAAAGTAGCTGCAGCAGGGAGAATAAGGAGGGTCTGGCTCAGGAAAAACAGTCTAAATGACACCGATTTCACAAAAGCCCTATGTTTACCGAGGGGCCCTGGCTGACCTGCTTGCCATTTGAGCTTTACTAGGACTGCTGAATCAATTTTATCCGCTGGAACACAGCTTTAGCACACCTTGACCTCAGCAATGAGAAACCTCCCCAGGGAAATAAGCAGCCTATGTCACTTGGAGCTGGTCGTAAACAAACTGTTCCTGGTGCTAATTTGAACCCAACAAGACTGAAGAGAAAGATGGAGTGATATTGTATGAGGAATAAGGACAGAGGAGAAGGATCTTCCTGTGGTAAAATAACACTGTATGTAATAAGAACTAATGATTTAAAACAAAAAATAAAGCAACACCTTTGGGGGTCTGAGCATATGGAATGTTTCCGAAGAAGGGGAGTCTTTTTCCCTTTGTAAAGTCTAAAATGAAGGAGAATCATCACATCAGTTTTCTGATACATAGTTTCTCTGTTTGTCCAAGAACTACTAGATTTCCACAGTTATAATAGGAAAATAGCAGCCTCTGACAAAAGCTGATACGCCTTTACAGACAACATGCATCTCCAAGCAAAGCTCACAATGTACATGTCAAAGCTGTTTCCACCAGCCCCTTCTTATCTGCTGCAATACAAAAACAAGCACGTACGGAACCATCTTACAGCACAGACTGAGAGGGGAAAAAAAAAAAAAGGAGAAAGCCGTTTTCTGATGAGCCACAGTCAGATTAGTTGAACGAGCGGATGGGAAGCACAGGTTTGCAATAACTGATGCTGAGAAGGTTTGAATACAAGAGAATTGGATGGGAACATTCTGAGGAATCAGTACAAACAAAAGAAATCATGCCTTGTTATGAGGGAATAAAAAAAATTAATACTTGCCAACTTTTCTTGTTCAATTCAGCAAAATTATTTTTCAATGCTAAAGTGTCTGGAAATAGGTCTGGTTTAGCTCTTATTTGTTTCTGTGCTGAAACTAGTGTAAATATCAGTAGAAATGTGGGTTTACATATTCATATTTTTACAGTACAAATAAACTTTCTCTCATTACTTATAGCTCAAAGTAACAAATTTCTGGTACAGTTTTAATCTAACCTGGAAGAATTAAAGAGTAACTTCTGTACTCCAAGAAGATTCCTACCATTTCATAAATCACTCAGGCTTTTTATACCAACACTGTCCATTATTATTTTAAAACTTATACATTACATTGCAGAATGCTTCAATTTAATCTGCTAGAAGTTCTTTATTCTGTGAAAGTGTACAAAGACATTCTATACCACAGAATCAAAGAATGGCCAGGGTTGGAAGGGACCTCAAGGATCATGGAGCTCCAACCCCCTGCCACAGGCAGGGCCACCAACCTCCTTATTTAATATTAGACCAGGTTGCCCAGGGCCCCGTCCAATCTGGCCTTGAAAACTTCCAGAGACAGGGCATCCACAACCTCTCTGGGCAGCCTGTTCCAGTACCTCACCACTCTCTCTGTAAACGCAATACATCTCTGTACATGCAATGATAAATTTCAAATTCTACATAGCAGAGAAGCCAAGTCTTCTTTCATCCTGTTGAGGTTGCTCCAACTAGGAAGATATTTTAACTTCAACAGGACATTTCAGTTTAAATAAAAACCACTATGTAACCAGTGTACAGACATTGGAAAAACTTCCACTCAACAATTTGAACAAATACATCTAAAATGTTTCATGTCACAAAAATTGGCCAGTACTTTGAATTAGAAGTAAAATATAAAATCTAAGACCAATCAAGCAAAGCAACCAAGTGTAGCAAGACACAAAGTAGTCTGTGTGCACTTAATAAGCAAGTCATTATAGATACACCTTACCATTTCCCTGGCATTCCTGCAGAGAGCCATATCAGGATCCAGCTTATCACGCATGAAGTAGTTCTTTTCTTTCATCTCTGACCTGAGAGTTTGGCCCTTAATCAAGTATATATTAGCCATATAAGGTATATTCCATACTCCTCTGTAACAGAAAATAAATAACTTAAAGCTGCAAAAACTATTTTGTTCTCCATTCCACTAACTCAGCATCTCTGTATTTGCTGACAAGACAAACCAAGTTTCAAGGCAACAAACTTGAAATGTTCCCAAGACATCTGAAAAACTACAGCTGGACAGCAAGAAATCAAATCTCAAACATAGGCATAGGCAGCAATTCAATTTTTACAAAGTATTGCCACAAAAAATAAAAAGGTCAAATTCCCTAAAGTGAGTTTTAACTACAAATGTACCTTGTGTTTCCAGATTTAAGGCAAAGTCTTTTATATTATAATATTATTCCACGCTGCCAGATGGATAAAATAATTCTAAAACAGATTTTTTAATGAGCTTAAGCATAGCTGTTCCGACCTCCTCAGACAAACACCCACTGACCTCAGCAGGCTATATATTTATGTGAGTTGGGCCAATATCAACAACAAAGCAGTGCTGCTATAATGCATGCTTTACAGATCCCCTCCCTCCCAGAGCCAAGCCTCCTGTGCCATGAACACATCCTTCAGTGCTGTTGAGAACAATCCAGTCCTTTTCAAGCAGTCTGTTTCAGATCTTTTTGTTCTTTCAAGGCAATGAAAACATATCACTCATGGGAAAGAAAAGCATAGGGAAGGACAAATCTAAAAGCTATGCAGTGAAAGTGTTTGTCAAGAGAATATATAGAATATACCCGAGATAGCATACAAGAAACAACACAAGAACAAAGAAATTACAGTCATTCAGTTTTGCACTGATTAAATAATTGCCTCAAAAAGTAATGAATGCAAGAATCATTTATTTTGACTAAAGTTCCTGGGGCACAGTTTTTCTTTTTTTCCTATTTCTCTGCCATTTTCTGCATTGCGTACTTGCAGAGTAGAGTGTCCAGATACTCACATAGGTACTAGTCATCACTATGTCCCTTAGTGATAGCTTGTCATGTTAAACACATTGCTTCAATGGAATACTAGAAGTTGAATAGTGCAACTAACTTTATACTTCTCAGAAATAACACAAGACTGTATGAAAATGTAAGAAAATGTTCTTAATAATCATACATTAATCCCTTGACTTTAAAAATCAGCTTAGAGTTACTTACACTCTGTTCCCTTGGACAATATCAATGTAATCTTCTGAACGAGCATAGTAGCCATCTGGGCTCAAAGCACCCCAGAAATTGGACCAAAGCTTCCCATGACGAGTTACAAGTGGAGCAATTATCTTTCTGTGAAGTAACATATTCAGTAAAAAGATATGAATTGTGATATGAAGATATGTCAAAAAATACCAGCTTTTCTGACTTGTTGAGTGTAGTCCAAACACGCTATCAAGCCCTGGAGCAGCTATTCTGAATTTCAGCTGCAAAAAAAGAAAAACTATTCAAGCTCCTACAGCCCAGAAATAACATCACCGTAACAGAAGCAATGATTCCTATAAAGCAGAAGCAGCTTGTATTTCTGTCAGCCAAGAAATACTCCCCACAGCATGGTAGCATAAAAAGAATCACAATGCCAGAGACAAGAAAAAAAATATTAAAATAAAAATGGTGCAACTTCAGGTACAGAAGTTACTTCAGTCTGAAAATTAGCTACCCAAAATTTAGTGTCAAAACAGGGAAGTCCAAAAGAACACAAAGAATAAAAAAGCTCTTTGTTTCAGGAGGTATCTACTAGTAGGTATATTTTGCAAGGTTTTTGTTTCTTCCACCTAGTATGTCTGGCTTTTATCCTCTCTTCCCACAGCAGTAAATATTACAAGGAACAGAACGCAAAGGACTGGCAGCCACACCTTCAACAACAATCCATCCTTTCTCCCTTTCACCTTTCTGTGAGACACCTGAGATACTAGATTTGCTGCCAAGAGGCAAACACCACTAACCTAACAAGGGGAACAACTGATTGGCAGGACTGAGGTGCCCAAATTGGATAACCAGACACGTGGCCATAGCCCACAGGAAAGCTGCGATGGCCACAGCAACGGCACTTAGTGAGACAGGATCAGGATGCCCCAGGTGGGATATCAGCTGGCCACACTGCTGCACAATGTGTGGCAAATAGCATTTACATTGGCTGCACCCTGCCAAAAGCTGCTGCAAAGTCACAGCTCAGCACGACTTCAGATATCATACCACAGTGAGGAGAAACAGATCATTACAGATGTTTAATCTCCAAGAAAACGTGTCTACTACTGTAACACATTTATGATTCTAAAAAAAAGTAACATTACTGGTAGCAGTAAGCTACAGGTTTGTGTTTTGTGGTATTTTTTTTTGCTTTGGTTTTGTTACTGTTGTTTTTTGTAATTGAGTGTATAACTTTGAAATCATTAGTTCCTGAGACCCTAACTCATTTCATAGAACCTGTTAAGACCATACCATTTTTGCCATAGCAACTTTGAAGCATCTAAAATTCTTATCAGCAATTGCTGCTTGACAGGAACAAAACACTTAATGAATTGTTGGGCTCCAAGTCCGCTACGAGCCATGGCAATCAAATATCACAGGTAAACAAAGAGGATCTAAATCTGCAAGAACAGACAGGATTTTACTTTCTCTGGAAGGGCCCCAGAGAATCCTTTCAAGTTTGAAGAATTTTTGTAGAATCAGGAGATATACTGCACCTGTTCTGTTCTATCAGTATCTTTAAAGTCTTCGGGTTTGTCAGTACAACATCTGCATCTATGCTGAAGTAGTATTCGCATGCTTCATCCTGGCGACAAAGGTCCCTAAAAAGACAAAAAGAACAATTACCTCACATGTTTCCAGAAGAGGTTCACAAATGCCAAATGCATAAATACCATAGCTGTACATTTCATAAACAGCCCTTTAATACATATGTTACAACAGTCAAAGACACCGTAATGTAAGATAGATGGAGCACACATCTATGCATTTGGCAGGGTATACTTGTTAGGCAACAGCAGAATAGAATGAATTCAGCCTCCCTACACCAACAGAATGGTAGAAGATCAAATGGACTTTTGAGAAAGTGGAACTACTCCTCAAGTCATACGAAAGCAGCAGCTTTCTGTCATGCAAATGGCATTATTGATTTTGTCTGTTCTCCCCAGTATAATTCACTGAACTTGCATTAGTTCCATCATAGCATTAGGTGTTCACATTGTTTTACTTTCATGCTGTAAAATGTCTACAAACATAGTTTTAGTTCAAGTTCTATTTGATTTGATCATTTCTGATTAGTTTTCTGCAATAGAAAAGAACTCTGTCACTTCAGGGGAAGTGACAAATGGTGGATGTGACAGACTACATACAAGTCAGTGACCGCTGGCATGGCTCCCTGTTTACACCTCCTTCATTCCCTTCCACTGCCTAACCTAGCAGGTCAGCACTTAGTTCATCTCCTCTATGGTCCTCTAAGACTTCTTGATAATCAAATGCTTTTATGCTTAAAGGACTTTGGATTAATGGCTTTCTGGACATTATGGTATAAGGCAGAGCTTTTTTACTCCACAAATTTTAGCAATCTCTTCCCTTCAAACTCAGTCACTCAAGATGTAATACTGACTTGAATCAAATTTTTAAAAAACTGAAGTGACAGAAGTGGCATTCTCATTGCTACAAAAGCCAGTGTTTGGACACAGATACATTGTGTAAATCTTTGCTCAGTGTCTGGCTTTGCTTTAACTAATGTATTTGCTGAAAGTTTCCTGTCTTATGAATACGTGCTTATATGACCACAATTCCTTAATCAGCACTTTCTCACATAATTGCCCCAATTGAAACTGGCAGGTTTTATTCCTGCCATAACACAGCCCAGCAATTAAGTCTTTATGGCATTTTCAAATTCCATTCAAAGCTTCACAACTACTGAATGCAATTCACCTGTATTTTATATTAGCATAATTACAATTATTAATAGTAGCCATTCATATTGCACTTGACATTAGTTGTTAAATTCACTCCAGAAATATCCAGCATCCTTATCCCCATTCCACTAATGAGGAACCTAAATCTGAGAGTGACAGCTCTGCACTGCTCTGCAGTTTCAGCCACAACACTGACAAACCTTTCCAAAAGCTGCAGTATCATCTGCTGCCATAAATATATGAATAGAATTGATGTTTTTAATTATAAACAATGAGAACAAACAAACAGAAGAGATTTGTATTTTCTTGTAAGCAAATACAACTGAAAAATTGTTCCATTGTTCACATTATTTCCAAGTGTATGGTCCTTCCTTCAGCTTCTGCCCTTTTTCAAATAACCAGAGTTTTATAAAATCTCTTTCAATGTGCTCACTGTTGACAAAACTTCTGCTCTTCACTTACATCTTAATTTATAAAACAAACAAACAAACAAACAACAAAAAAAACACCCTAAATTAAAAGTTTCAGTCTAAGTAGTTGTACTTGGTCATTCAAAAATACACTGAGAAGTCATTAAAAGCATTACTACCATAAATAGTCTGGAAATGTAGCTACAGCACAAATCAGTGTGAAAGCTCTAACTTCAACTTTTATAAGCAAGAATATTAAATATATTATAGGCATAAATACAAAAATATATATTATTTTTGTCAGGGCAGCTATTCAGTAGATATAGTAAATTTAACAGAACACGAAGCTATTTTGTTGGAAGTCTGAAGCTCAGCAGATTAGCTTACAGTATTTTGCAGTCAGAAAAATGCTTAACTTTACTGGCAAACAGCAGCCCATCCAGAACTCTGACTTCATTTAAGAAGGATCAGAATTGCTGTTCTGCACATTATACCTTCCCCTGAGATCTCCTTACCTCCTTATAGGGGGAACACATCATCTACACAATTTCTCTAGCATTAAGTCATTTGTAGTTGTTTAGATACAATTTGAATTAAAAATTTATCATTTTCATATCCCTCTCAGTTTGGTAGTACAGCTCTAGATGTGGACTGTGAGTCAATGGGAGGGCATTCAGGCCATCAGAAAGAACTCTGACAGAAAAGGTGCCTGGGTGACAGGGACAGACATTGCTGTCATTTAGGATCTCATTTTGCACTGCTCACTATCCCAGCCACAGCCATTGCTCCTCCCAGCAGAATTCCTATCATCATCACTAAAAACAAATAAACGTGGCCATGGAATAGATAAAGCACTAACCTTTAGTTTTGCATTTCAGGCTTAGGTAACATCAGCACAATTACTACAACTGGAAGCTATTGTAAGCAGATATGGGTGGGAAAGTTGTATTTCTTTTGCAACACTGAAAGTTCTAAATGCTGAGACTGAAACCCAAAACTGCTGAAGTGTTCAAAAGAAGCAGAAGCAGGAAAATACAAGTCTCCAATACTTGACATTTGAGAGAGAGATTTAATCCTCGCTCTTCCTTTAAACCACATCCAAGGTATTTGCCCTACTCACAGGCTATCCCAGCCATCGTTTATCAATACCAAATGGAAGCTCTGAGACATTGATGTAATGTCCTCTAATTTTCAAGAAGCGTACAAGAGAGACAAAATACATTTCAAAATCCAACCAGCATTAACCACTAAGGTAGCATTTTGAAGGAATATACGTGCAAAGACAAAATACTCAATTTGCAACTAAGCTTTTTTCTTTATATCCTCCTTTATTTTTCTTCTTTCCTTGATCCCCTTCCTTCTGTTTCTGCCTGTTTAAGCTATGCACTCGTTTGTCTATATTGATGAATCGTAACAACTCTTTGATGGCTATGCAATTTGGAGCCTTTTCCAAAATGTATACAACTATCCAAAGCTCAGGAGAGGGCTTTTCCATATTAATAGACAACTGGAAAGTAAATACCTTGCTATTACTTATTAAATGAACAAGAAAAGCAGGCAGAAGTTTGCTGCATGGATATAGGTGGGAGGAAAAAAGTTATTCTACTCACATGTATATTAAATGTGAAAGTCTCATTCACTAAGAACCTCATCATGACTTCTCACCAGTTTTTACTAAGACAAAATGGGGCAAAATGATGTAAAACCGAGTAGCTACATTATATACTCAGAAGTATTCTCCTGAAAACAAACTGCACCTTTAATTGCATTAAGTGTTAACTGCATTAAAAAAATAAAAAAATAAAAAAATCGCTGCATCAGATAAATATCTTTTAGTGTGAAATGTGCCAGTAAGAATACCAAATTCACTCTAAACCTACTAGAAATAAACTAAAATCAGTTAATTTGGAGAAATAGAGAATACACATGTCTGATGCAAACAAAACAAAATTAATGTGTGGAGAGATGCAGGAGAAATAAATATATCAGTGTCTGCAAACCAAACCATTAAAAAAGATTTGAAGAATCTCTGTTACAAAGCAACTTCTGTTGCAATATTAGTGAGAAACAAGAGAGGTTACACTGGAAGGTATCTGAATTGAAGGCTAATAATTTGCTTTACTGGAACTGTCATTGTCATGAAAATCTAAATTTTGAGGTAGATTTTCTGAGGAAAAATGTAATCATTCCAGAGAAGTTGATGACGATGAGGAGGCTGGCCAAGCAGAGCAAGAGTGAAAGGAAGTTGCAGATGACCTGATTTTGTCCTATCCCAACCAAAAGGAAAGGAGCAACTGTTGGTGACTCCTACATTGTTCACATATAAGACCATACTTAGCTTCTAAATGAATAATTTTGGGATGATCTCATCTCATACACATTACACTTATTTCTACTTCAAACAATTTGTGAATGGTGTAGCTAGAGTTTACTAAAAATAATGCTTTTTTATTATGTGAATGGCTGCTTCTGCTGCCATGGACACGGGTAATATTTCCTAGAAAGGCTATGGGAGAGGCCAGCCTGGAGCACAGCCAAATTTCAGTTTCGCAGTGGCTTCTGAGCAACAAAACCTTGTACAAACAAAATTCCAAGAACACCAAGAAGACAAGTCCCTTTTTTCAATTGATGCCATGCTATACTCTTAAGCTCTGAATATAACAAAAAATGTCAGATATTTTAATATATATTAATGTTTGTGCTGAGTATAATGTAAAAATAAACTGGCATCTCTTATTTCTTCAGTCTGTTCTCGTCCGTGCCTTCATCAGAAGTCAAGGCTGTAGACTACTGAAATAGAGAAGTCCAACAAGGAGATGTTTTCCTACAAATAACCAATAGCTTTTCTATTAAACAGAAGCCATAAAATACTCAACAGTAAATATTTTATATCCAGGGCTTGTTCTAGACAAAAGCTTTCACTTCTGTACTTTAAGATGTGAGACTGTTAGTATTTAATATGCAAAATAATATACATTAAAGAAAAAAAAAATGTTAGTGGATGCACCATTATAAAGGATTTAAAAATCAGAAATTACATTCCCATGTTCCGGGCTTCTGCTTGACTCAGATTTTCTTCAGGTCCAACAATTTTTATATTTCTGATAATGTTCTTGGCTTTTTCCCAGAATTTCTTGATGTGCTTTTCATGGTAAACCTCCTGTAATCATGTTAACATTGTTTATAGTGAATGAAAAGTACAAATTGCTGTGAAATCATAAACACAGTGTCCAAGAACAAATTGTATTCTATCCTAAGCAAACAGATGGCAAGCAGTATTTGAAGATAATCCAGTATAGCTATCATCAAAAAAAAATCAAGTGCTTCAGTCCAAAGTTTTAGCAAGAAAATCCAACACATCAGCAGCATAAATCAAACCTGTATATTCAGACCAGTTATGCAATTCACAAACTGTTTACGCAGCATTTTATCGTGATAATTGTTCTACAAACATCAAACTCCATCCTCAACCTCACTGGCACACAGGGATTTTTATGTCACTCCAGAAGGACTTTAGAGACAGGGGAGTTGCCACCTGTGGTGTCCAGCCAGAGGACAGCTGTGCAGTGCCCCAGCTCCAGACCACAACTCCTACTCTATTCTCCCTAAGAAGAGAGCAGCCAGTTGGAAGGAATCATTCAGTGCTACCAAGGTGGCCAGGGATGAAACCACACTCAAGAGTGCTTACAATAAGGAAATTTAGAATGTCATCAGTCTTGGCTAACAAAGTAGGCAAAACAGCTTGGTGGTATCATTTCTAGAAGTAACAATGGTGGCAGAAGAGGTTGAGATTACAGATCAGGGGTATTCGTCTATTATCTTGCTCTAACGTGATAAAACCAAATCTTATTTTTTCAATCAACTAAAAATGCTGCACATTCATCCTCTCAGAAAAGTAGTCCCAGTGGTTGTCTCTTTAATTTCTCATAACCCTACCCCTAATTTAAGGGGTCTCAGTAGTAGACAATACTTCCAGACCACTAATGCTCATTGTTAGGCTTTGCTATAACAGATAACTTCATAGTAACTAAAGGTAATGGTTCTTTCCCACCTATAATTAAAAAGCTATTCAGTCTTAAATTCATTTTGAACACCTTCCAACTTCTGGCTGAAGCACTGAAACCTAGCATAGTCTACAATTCCTATCTGCAGATCATATTTGTGTCTTTAAGAACTCCTTTCCAAAAGGCACTGGTAACTTTAAAACTCAGCTCTGCTTCTGTTACTCAGAACTGTTGTGCTATGTTAACAGTGATGTCTAACTAATTAAAAAAACAAAACTCTATTTTTCTCCAGACATTCATCTTGCAACCCTGTCTGTCCATGAGACTTGCACATATCCATCACCTCTCTCATGCAAACAGTAATACTGATGCATGTCACTAGTGAAGTATTAGTATCACCAGATCATTAGATAATAGCAGAAACCATTAAATATATTTCAAAAAGCAACTAATCTATACTGCCATTCAAGACCTATCTGGCCACAACAGTCTTTCCCCTGGCACCCAGCAACAGCATCAAAAGAAATGTAAATGGGATATCAAGAACAAAATGAAAAGCAAATCCAGTGACAACTATTGTTATTACAACAATTAGTACTTCTCCCAGAAGCATAGAGCTTAAAATTCAATTTCTAAGTAGTTTGTTCCAATAGATTTCAGCAAGCACTGACTGAACTTCATTTCACTACTGTATTTTTTCCACTTCTGTATAATAAATTACGAAACATTATCTCTTCCCATGCAGTTAAGAAATATGTATACAGAAAATCTATATACTTTTCACCTGCATTTTAATTCATAGCATGACTTCTATAAAATCAAGCTTTGCAGAACAGTAACATTATACTTACATTATTATGAATGAAAACACTGAGAGCCTCCTTTGGGTAATCCAGAGTCAACAGTCTGTCTAAAAATTTAGGTAGGAAAGGAGTGGGTTGTTCAATGAAAACACCAATTTTTACGCTGGGATATTCCTAAAAAAAAAAAAAGATATTTTGACACAACCAGTAACTTGCCTTGTTTCTAAGACTAGTTTTATTAAAAAGCAACTAATGTCATACTGTAATAAACTTGACCGCACAGTTTTGATATGGTCTAAGCCAACAAGCTCTGATGTGCTGCTACCCATGTTTTTGTGAATTATCTGACAAAGCAAAGATAATGGATTCGGTATCACTAGAAAACTTTTTGAATTCCAATAACAGAAACTGAGAAATTGAAGTCCAAAACTAACGTAAAAAGATTTGTAATTTTTTCTCTATTAAATATATTTTAATAGAAAAAAGTACAAAACTAAATACACCTAAGAAATGCATTGTGGTTTTGTTTTGTTTTTGAATAACTTGTATATACATGAGAGATTTACAGGAAAGCATAGGGAACTATTTTTAAAAAGTAGTTAAATGAAAAAGAATATTCAAACTATTTCAGTCATTAAGACAAAGACTGCAAAAGCCTTGCACATCCTTTTATATACACTATACCCCATTAGCTATCATAAATGAGTTCTGCATTACTTCCCTGCTTATTGATTTTATTAAGAGCTGTAATAAACACTAACCAGAGCATCTTCCCTTACACCCAAGGAAGCCACCATCCAATATCAATTCACATCTTTTAAAAATCCTGTTTTGCATGTGTTTGATGCAGACATCATGGCTGCTAAAATAAACTAGACAGAACTCATGTGTTCCTAAAATACATTATTGCATTATTTGAGACAAAGAAATTCAACATTCAAAGGTCTTCAAACCTGCACAAATGCACTGATTCAACAAAGCTGCTTTCCCCTTCCAAAGTACACAGTCCATACAAATATCCAAGCCTATCAGGGGCTCAGAGAGAAAACTTATACACATGTAGAAGACTGAAAGTTAGTTTTCCTTGAGCAAGCCCATACTTGCTTGAAAAGCATCTGGATAAACAATCAGTGCATGTTGAGTTTTCACAGTATCACTGTCTGCATTGGAAGCCCAGAAACAAATTGGCAAGTGCGCTAGGAAACATTACAACACCAAGTGTTTACCCAGAATGCCCCTTATTTATGACTTCATTTGCAAACCCAGCAGACGCTTACACAGACAGCCCAATAACTTCAGAACAACTGATGAAGGTATGTGCACCCACAAGTCCTGAAAGCAGCAGCCACAGCTTTTGCGGAAAACCACCCCGTTGTGACTGGAATTGGACTAACTGATACTAATAACACTGATCACAAGTGATGAGGAAAGCAGCCTGTGCCATTAGGCTTACTGAACAAACGTGCTGCTATCACAATTTATTCTGCATATTTTTCTAATTCAAAGCCATTTTGCTATGTTTTCCTGAGGAAGGAGAAGCAAATTATGTTTGGATCTGCAAAGATTATAGGGGAAAAAACGAATTATTAATAATCCTCCAAAATACAGGAGCATGAACTGATTAGCTCCAATGTCTACAATAAAACTCAAGAGTGTGACAAAAGCAAAAGGGTTTAAAGGATTAGAGTTTGAGATTCCTGCAAACTGCACTGCCATTATATCTCCTCAAAGTAGAGTTAATTGATCTAGAACATCGTTCCCCTTACTTATAAAGGGTGTGACTGCATTACCTGAATCTACGTCTGAATGAACAAATTTAATCCCCAGTATGTGAGCTTATCAAGTTTGAACTTTGGTTCTTCCCAATTATACCCTCGAAAAACACTTCAGGAGCACCCAGGCTGCTCTAGGTGATGTTGCATTTTCTGACAGATTTTCACTCTTTTACTAAGGACATACATTCCACCTTTTAAAGCTTATTTTTTCATTAGCAGTAAGAAAGTGTGTGACAATGTTTGAAGAAACACAGGACAGCACTCTGAAGCCATATTGCGAAAGAGTCCAGGAGCTGCCAGTGCAACGCAAGGAGCAGTGAAGTCACCCTTGCTGCTCACATGCAAAATTTTCTACACTAATAACAAACCTCAGGATTTAAGCATTAGCCAAAGGAACATTAAATTTGTTGTTCAGTTTAATTTAGGCTATTAGAACTGTATTACTACTCAAACTGTCCCCAGGGAGCACCTTGGATGCTACTGCTCAACCAGCAGGGCCCAAGGTGATGCTTCTATCCCCTCCACCTAACACATACCACCTTGGCCTTCACAGTGGAAGTCCTCAGAAAATAAGGTTACTAAATTCATGTGATGGGCTGAAAAACAGGTGCCTGGCCATTGCATCTTCCTCTGTTGTCAAGTCAAGGTCTGCAGGCCAGACTCAGCCCAAGATGTTTGAACAGCAGCAGCTAAGTTCATCAAGTCAAGAACCTATGTCAGAATTCATCTGAAGGAACTCAAAGCTCATAACAACTTGGTATCAACAAAACTGATCCTGACTTTCTTGTGGAAAGAGCAAGAATGAAAAAGTCTTCAGGAGATATGAGCGCACCAGTTCATAAAATCAAATAAAGCAGTATGAGAAGGGCAATTGCAACCCCAGTGCCAGTTAGTTGGGGCTCTCAGCAGCCTGATCTAGTGGGTGCGAAACCTGCCCACAGCAGGGAGGTTAAAACTGGATGATCTTTAAGGTTCCTTCCAACGCCAAACAGTCTGTGATTATATGATTTCTTTTTATTCTAAAGATTTCTTGTTAAGTAGCAACCAGCCAGGCCAGAACAGAAAGCTCATTCAGAAAATGAAATACTGCTTGTACTAAGAAATGCCAGAGGTAAACACTTCCACAGAGGCCAAGGAAAAGTCTCACTATTTCTGCTGGCAGAGTGAGTGAGGTATGATGTCCAAAAAATGAGCTACAGTAAGGAAGCTCCATTCCAAGTAGATGTACTTAAACTATACAAAAAGCTATCCAGTAAATCACTGCAAGTTACTCTCCGTTAATGGCTTTAAGTTTAAACTACCCCTTAGGCAACACCTTCAGATAAAACTTAAAGTTTACCTGAGGAAAAAAGTTAACATATAGCTGAGAGTGCAAAAACTTTCAGCAGAACATCAGAGGAATGTTCTACCTTCAAATTAAAGATGTATGTGTAAATACATACGTATATTAAAAGGATGTGAAAGTGATTACAATTTCTGCAATAAGTTTTTGAATTCATATCCCATTCTACAAGCTTCTTATTGTCCAGAAATTGTCACACTATTTTCAGTGCCAAACAAACCACCACTTCTTTGTGCTATCCTAAACCCTCATGACCCTCTAAGCTCTGTTCTCATTCATATCTTCACTACAGACAAGAAATGAAACAGCTGTCAGAAACAGCTTTTCAAGAATAATCTGAGCATTCTTTTGTGTGCAAGCCCTACATTTTCACACTGAAGATCTTCATATTTACTCTGCCTAAAATTTACTAAATACAAGCAGAAAAATGTACGAAGACATCAGATGTCATGTATGGAGCCACAGAGCTAAAGTAAGTTCACAAACTCATACACACACAAACACATATGTTCAGATAGGTTTGTCCTATGAAAAGTCTAGGGACTTTGCTAACATCTGCCCTGAATTACATCAAATTTATTCCATATATATATGCACTTGCAAATACAGGTATCTATACCATTCTTAAAAAGGCAAAGAAGTTTTGACTGTACGTTTTCAGAGACAACAACTGTGTAAGCAGAGATTATTAAATATATTCTAGGTCAATTTCCTTTTGTAGGTCTTCATGTAAAACTCTGAAGTGTCTGAAGTATTTCCATACTTACCAAAAATTCAAGTTATTCACTTGAATCTTGCATGATTCAGAAATGATGCATTCATCCTCAGTGAACAGAGGATCTGAGGGCTTTTGGGGAAGGGATTAGTTTCAGTAATACTGGGGAAACCTATATTAAAATGCATGCATGAAATTATTTCCACAAGTATTGGCATTTTCAGTAAATTAAACTTCCTTCCTTATAGTTTCATATATGAGACAAAATATCCTCAGGTACCTACTAAACATAAGAGTGCATACAAAAGCCTTTTTGAATCAGAAGTCCGTATATACCCATCAGATGCTTTCAAAAGGGTTTTGCTCTTGTTTCACAAGTTTTCTTACCGTTACTGTTGACAGATCCAGCATGTCTAAATCACAAATACTGCATCCAGTTTCCCGTGTCCAAGCATTGGGGATATAGTTTCCCAAGTAATTCAAGTAAATCTAGTAACAAATGAACAATTCAGGTTAATGAGATGTGCATACAGCTGGTGATCTTTACTCTTTACAGAACTCAGGCTCAATATTTTAATGTCTTAAACCTAAAGGCAAATGTCTGTCTTTTTATCTAAAAAAGAAAGTAACATAAAAATACCTATCTTTTCTTATTATTTACAAGCCAGAGGTGATATCCTCCTAATTTCTACATTCAAACAAAAAACTGTAAGTGGATAAACTACCAACTAAATACATGCAAGACTTACAAGAAACAAACTACAGATCCAGCTCTCAAAAGCTGCTGTGCATGTTTTCATGCCAAAAGATGATTCTAGTTAATTCTCCTAAATCTTAAAATCAACACTTTAAACAAAATGCAGAGACCAACCACATGAAAAGAACATAGAAATTCTAAAAGACATATTTCCATGATGTATAACAGCAACCTATGCCAGGACTGAAAACATATTCTACTGGCTGTCTTCAAAAGCAGCATCTACCTTCTTAACACTTTCAGAATTGGTGCTGAACAAAACGTGTACTTCTGTGGATGGACTGCCTGGGCTGCACTGTCCTCCTGGAAGTTCTTTACAGAGAGAGCGGTGAGGTGCTGGAACAGGCTGCCCAGAGAGGCTGTGGATGCCCTGTCCCTGGAGGTGTTCAAGGCCAGATTGGATGCAGCCCTGAGCAGGCTGGTAAGTATTAAATGAGGAGGTTGGTGGTCCTGCCTGTGGCAGGGGGGTTGGAGATTCATGATCCTTGAGGTCCCTTCCAACCCTGGCCATTCTGTGATTCTGTAAGACTCTTTAGCTTGGTCTGTGGCAAAAGAACAAGGGGAAATGGCTTCGAGATCAGGGAGGGTAAATTTGGATAGGACATAAGGAAAAAGTCTTTTATAGACAGGGTGATGAGGCACTAGAACAGTTTTTGCCTAGAGATGTGATTGATTTCCCATTCCTGGAGACTTTCAAGGCGAGGCTAGATCCCCTGGGCAACCTGATGTAGCTGTGGTGACCTTGCTCATTGCAGGGGAGTTGGACCTGCTGGCCTCCAGAAATCCCTTTCTACTCTAAGTATTCTGCAGTTCTACGATTCTTCACTAGCTTTAAAAATTGTTTTCTGGTAATGAACAAATTAACATCAGCTTATTCACTTCTAATATCTCATGCTATCGTGAATTTGGGAGTGGAGTGAGTTGTTTTAGCAGTGCTATCAAGTTACTGTGACAACAAATAATGATGTAGAGAGCTGCTAGAATGGTTTGTTTACCCATGCAATTTTTATTAATATTAATTAGAAGTTAGTAGTGGTCATAACTTTTTCAGACCATTCTACTGTTTTTGCCTGAGCTAAAATTGCTGTCTTTGCACAAAACCACAAAGAAAATGCCACTCACTTTAGTCGGACCATTTCCGAGAACAGCGATCGGTAATGTTTCATACACAGAATTCCTTGCTCTTACTTTCCCTTCTTCAAAATTCAGATGAACTTCATCTGCAAATTAACAAGGATCATACCAAAACAGGTTTATAAAAAGATAAAATTTCAGAGTTCTCTAAGTTCTTGCTGGTACTGTACATCCTATTGTTGCTGTCATTGTCAAAGATATTTATATGGAAGCTTTTTTTAGTTTTTAAACAGACCCTCAATTCTAAATGCTTTATACCAAGAATTACACGTTACATTAAACTTCAGAGTTTGCCAACAGCAGCCTTAAAAATTTGAATAAAATCTGTTTAAAAACTTACGCTTGAACAAAGGAATTTATAAATAAATCAGTTATTTTAGATATGATCTGAATTTAAAGTTGCTACATAATTGCAGGTTAAAGGTAAGGAAGGAAGCTTGTACAAATGTAGCTTCCAATTTTAATTCAAGACAATTAAAGAAAGGAAATTACTCATTATTTTGCAAACTATTACACATAACATCTAAAATGCAATTTTAATTACAGGAGTGAAGATGGTAATTAAGTTTGTGAAAGGCTGATAGAAATTTGGTTCCTAATTTTGGAAATATTGATAGCTTCATTTATTTAAAATTATTTTTGCTATTTTAAAATCCAACTTCAACCTGTGGCTGAACTGGAAATCTAATTTATGCACCCAAATATTTCATCACAACAGAAGAGCACATGTTTAAGGAACTGTATCAATGGTTATGCAATTAAACTGTTAATAACATGGTTAATGAAACACAACATACAAAGCGTATGCTTACCAACAGCTCCATTTAATGTCTGGAAAATAGCACACTTGTGGTCCAAAGTAATGTTCAGGCTTTCCTAAAATAAAAGTAGCAAAGATATTGAGGTATTCTAAAAAAGCCAAAGCTTTTACTGAAGATCTGCTGAAGTAACAGCAAATTAAACAGGCCAAGCTACCTGACATACTCAGTTTTCAAATGGAATTCTTAGTTTTACACTGTTAAGTTTTTCCAAGATTCCTGACTTGTGCAGTTGTATAGCAATTAATTTTACAAATGCAAAAGCCTCATCTAAACTTGTACATAAAGGCCATAACTCTTCAAAGAAACTGCAGTTTAGCAGGGTAGACTAAAGAAAATCTATATCTTATCTTAGAAATATTGACAGTTCTTGGAACACCAACAAAACACACTAGCAGTTCTTACTGCATTTCACTGCTTCAAAATAACAGTGCCAAATCTAAGTATCATGTCAGAATAGAAAATACCATTGCTCAAAACATTCCTAGTACTAAATTATTAAACTCACCTACATTCACATTTAGTGTATCTTGTCCAAAAGTTTTTAACACGTCGAGCAAAAGACATATCCTTTAAAATAGATTTAAAACCTGTTATTTAGATACGAGTACTTTGTTTCAAATCACCCAAGATTTCCTTGCATATTCTACAGTTCCGTGTGTTACTGTACAGAGGATCAGTACTGAAGAAGTGTACAGAATCTCCACAGTGCTGTATGTAGCCAGTACCTTTATAGGCAGTACAATGGAGGTGGTTTGAACCATTGTGCAGTGATGCACTGTGCAGAGGTACACACTTTCTGTCTAGAAGACAGTCTGTTCAGACAGCTAATTACATTACTTGTGAGTTTGGTGCAGAGTCAGCTCGAGCGTCTCTACACACTGTCCTTTCAATTGTGTATCTAGCATCTGACTTAATTTGCATAAAGACAATTCAAACATTTCTGTACTTGTATCTAAACATGCCCTACATCACAGGCATAACTCGACAGAACTTAAAAGAAAATACATATATTTCAAAGACTTTTTAGACCTGCCTTAAGCACCCAAGTGACAAAAGTCAATCTCAAAATTCTGAAATATCAGCTTCTAGAAGTCTTCTTGCATCAAAATATTGTTTAGCCTTTTTAACTCACTTTTTCCAGTACCCAGCCCATGCCTCTGATCTATGTTTTAATGCTCCTAATCAGCACAGACCTTTGTTAAGGCAGGGCTTGGAGAGGTCTCCCCCCACAATTTATGATGCAGACTTATTGAAAATATCTGCATAAAAAGCTGAGGATTTGGATGCAACTGCAGGCAGGACCTGAAATGGCAGCAACCCAAAATCTAAAAACTCTGGATAAGCAAGTAGTTCAGTGAAATCCTGGAAAAATGCCACATTCTCTGGCTGTCAAACTGCAGAATACATGGGACCCTCATTGAGATGAATGTGGCTAATCATATACCTCAGAGCTATTATTTCTAACAACGAAGCACAGCCTGCCTAGATCTGCTGGCAGCCTGAAACTGTATTTCAAGTCATGACCCTTCCGAAGACTGTTCATCACTCTGACAGTAGGAACCTCCGGAGAACAAACACCACTGTCAACATGGCACTCAGGAAAGAAGGAGACAGCATTCCTTTTATTTTTATCTCCTGATGTTTTATGGGGAGAAGCATGTTATTTCAAGCAGAAAGAAATGAGAAAGCCAGCCATTACCTACCCTCGCCAATGGGTCAACATAGATTTTGGTGTAAAACAGCTGGTCATCATCATTATCCTGCAGATTCCATTGCTGCACAATACGATTTATATACGGAGCATAACCAATAAATCCTGCAATATTAAACACAAAAGTTATTTCCATAAGAAGCACTTCTCTGCCAATGCTGTCCCTCAGTCAAGGACTTCATTCAAAGTGTTTGGTGCCAATGTATGAAATTCATACAAGTTGGCTTAAAAATCTAGTTTTCTGTGATATGCATTAGTTCTGTTCTAAAGAGTTAGCACTTACAGGTTATTTTTATTGTAACACTATTTTAAAGTAAAAAATAGCAAAGACACATGTCCAAGATGGAAACAGATATGCTTCAGATGGTCCAGCAAACTCCAAAGCATGAGACTAGGCTACTACTATTCCCAAGAAAGAAGCCCACTGTAGAAAAAAAGCTTTATTTTCATCAGTCACTGAATCACAGACGGTTGAGATTGGAAGGGAGCTCTGGAGATCATCTAGTCCAAGCTCACTGATCAAGCAGGGTCCCTGTGAGCACATTACCCAGGGCTGTGTCCAGACAGCTTTTGAATATCTGAAGGAATCACTTCCTACTGGCAGAGAAGCCTGAAACTAATTCTGCCAGATCTACAAGTGGAATTCAATTTGAACCTGAAATGCATTACATTTAAGCCAAATCAAAACAACAACAAAAAAAACTCAGACAGATTAAAAAAAAAAGAAAAGAAAAATAGGGATGATAGCCTAGGCCAAGAGAGAAAAATGTGGGGACACTCAGATCTGCAGAGTGCCTAGACTGTTTACCCAGGTAGAGGGAAGTACTGCGCTCTGTAGCAGATAAACAATGTCAGAGTCAATGCACACATGTATTAATCACCTGCAAAACGATTAACAAAGTTGGCATTTAAAGGAGACTTCAGAATTAACACTGCATTGAGATTAATGGGAATAACCCACACTTCTCTTGAACCAAATGATCCAAGCCGTGCCGAGGGGACAGGCGGTTATCACCAGCATTTGTGTACAAGGTGCAGAGATACCTTAGAAACAAGGGTGCCAACAAGGCAGGAAATTCTGTGGCCCAGCTCATGATCTGTCCCTGTAAACAGCATGTACTACCTTATGCTTCTACCCCTAGACCAGCAACTGGGTGGTCCCTGCATAGCATTTCATTGCAAGGCATTTATGCCCCAGGCTTCACTTGATTTACATGCTTTACACAGCGGCATTGCCAAAAATACCATGGGACTTTGAAGGAAATCTATTCCTGAGAACAAAAGAGCAGACATTTTCAAGGGACAGAGAGTGGTAAACAGCAAAAGCAATCTTTAATGAGCTCTTCGGGAGTTCAGGAATACCTACACAGACAAATACATATAACATAATGAAAGCATCATGCTCAAGTTCAAGATTTAGCGTATTCAGAAATCACACTTACCTCCTGAGTTCAGGAATCGTTTTCCACTCCGGACCACAGGATACTTGTCAGCTAGCCTTTTATCTGGCCAAATTAATCCATCTGCTGCAAACACTACTTTATGATTTGTTTCCTGAAATTTCTTTAGCAGTTCTTCAGGTCCTCCCGCAAAGATTACATCATAGCTGAAAATGAAGAAAAGATGTCCACTGTTTGGTTTGATTTTAATGATTCTGTGTTCAAAGCAACAAATGGTCTGATTATTCACATTTTTAAAATCATACAGACGGCCATTTTTTTCTGAAAAGTGACTTACCAAATCCTGCTGTATTATATGTAAAAATCCTAAAATCTTCTGGGAAAATAAGTCCTCAATAAATACTATTTAACCAACAGTTTCCCCTTCTATTTCCATTTATTTTTCTGAGCCTTCTACACTTCTTCCTTCAGAATTTTTCTACCTGAGACTGATTTTCAAGTTTCATGTATTTTGAGTAATATATAAGTATGCATCTTTAAAAAAAGGTGTTTTATATTTAAAAGAAAAAACATACATATTTGTAGATGAAGGAGAACTTACTGATGACTTACAGGGAAACTTGGGATGATCTTGTTCCAAAACACATTGGCACAGACTTCTATCTGACATCTCCTTAGGCACATATATTTATTTCTCAAAATATATTATTTCTCAATACAAACTATCATTAAACTGTGCTACATCTTCACAGTATTTAAATTTCTGCTTTAACTTTTTTGATGTGCTGAAGACTTCAGAAGACCCTAAACTTCATATCTACTTATAAAAGTCGCCTATTTTTTATGTATTCATCAGATTTAACTCCTGATTCTCAATCACAAAGACCAAAAGTTGGAAAGGGTGATATCTAAACCAAGCAGTTATCCATAAGAGGAGGTCAGCATTAGCCAAAAGCAGAATATGTGAAGTTTTGGCAAAGGTCATATAGTGATGGAGTATTGTGAGCCCAGCGGTTCCTTGCTGTAGAACAAAATCTAAATCAAATCCCTGAAAAACCACAAAATGAATGTAAATGATTAAATAATTTAGAGCATAAGGCTCCTTCGTTCATGCTTGAGATCAACATATAAAAGCATTAATGCACAAAACACTTCAAGGTTCATTTCACATGGCATGAAGTGAGGAAATATTGGAATCACACTGTAACAGACTAATCTCTGGCTGAAGAAACAAAATATCTGAATTTAATGGTAGTGTCTCAGCTGTTATGTTTATGGGGATATTTTTATTTCATGCATCTGCCTTGGGTACCTAAAATCTGCAGTCCTGAAATAAGGCAGAGGAAAGGTACAACTACCATCTCCGAAGGTCTCATCTTTATCGAGATTTTGTTCTTGCTAAGTATTTAAGCCAGGCTAGGAGATAGGACAGCAGTACCCCACAAGCAGTAAACAGAATTTTTTGCATTGCAATGTGTTACTCAGCAATAGTGCCAAGAAACCAACCCTTACTGCCTTCTGGTGCTTCTTTGTTACAGTTCCGAATTATTTAAAACGTCCTTTCTTCAAAGGGGATTTCATGCAATTGGACTAAGAAAATTGAACAACAGCTGGCTTACAAATGCAACGGATCTCCACCACAGAGCAAAGCATGAGCCCTGGAGAGGAAGTGTGTTATGTAGTCTATATAAAGCAAGTGGGGTTCTGCAAACCTTCACTGTTTTGTTTTTCTGTAACTTTGGCAGAAGAATGTATGAAGAAGAAAAAAAAAAAAAGAAAAATGTATTGTACATTTTGGAGCTTCCCCAGTTTTGCAAAAACTGCTTGCTTCTGCCCAAAATATACAGAACAGTACTTTCCTCCCTTCCCATTCAGCTAGTGCAGTCTGATTCAAAGCCAGAACGGGCCTGAAGAACAAGCAAGAAACAGGAGACGAGTTGAAGACAGACAAAAACAGAGATTTGTCTGAGGCTTTAACTTAATAGCTTATGGCAGGCTGTGCTTCTCCTCTTTGATCAGGAGAGTGCTGCTGCTGCAATGATTTGCAGCTGCAGGAAGGAACCAAACACCCCTGGAACGTTGCTTCCCAATGAGTGTCACTCTGGAAAAGTAGCCAAAGCTGAGCAACACGCTGGGCTAGCCACAGGCTCTGCTTGGGAAAGGGATATGCTACTTAGTGCAGCACAGTTCATAATAAGAACACAGTAGAGCTCAGCTCAGAACTGCTAAACTGTATCAGAAATTATTGTAAACTTTACATACAAAGGGATATTATGCAGGGGCATGAGTCTATCGTGTATGAACATTTTCCACCAATTTTTGTGGCTCTGTTTCATCAAGAAGTAACCTGCAGGATTACCCTACACCCCTCCCCAAATGGGATCTCTACCAGCTTCCTGCTCCTCACTGCTAGTCCGCATCTGTGGCTTTACACAGTTCCATTTGTCTCTGACAAATGGAGAAATTCTTGAGCCAAGCTCAAACCTATCTATTTGCCTCACTTCCCTACTATGTCAGACACAGCACCAAATGCCTATCATAAGAAAGATCCATTTGAGGTCTACTCCACTGAGACCATCACAAAATGGGTTCCAGGACTATCTTTGACAATTATGCACATGAGTTGCGTTCCAGATTTGAATAGGACTTTAGAATTGGACAGAGAAGAATAAGTAGAGACACATCCAGAAAGAGGCAGATCATTTTGACAAGCTGGAAAAGCTCAGATACTCTTATTTATTCTTTGTAAATCCTTTTGATTAACTAGGAGGTGGAGAGGGTAAATAAAGTTTCCACAACTCCAGTCCCATTTCCTGAAGTTCCCAGATGGTTGATGTTCAGGATTGGAATCCACCCAGCCCTCCTCCTTTTTTGGCCACAAGTCACACCCTCTGTGCACCCAGCGCCTTGTCACAGCTGGGAAGTGATCCCAGAGTGCAGATCTTCCAGAACTGAACGTGCAACTTTGCATCTACAGCTTTATAACAATGAAGACCTGTTACTATTTGAGCTGCAAGTTAAAGAATTCCATGTACAAACAAGTGGGATTTGCAACTAGCAATGCAGGTCCCATATTTCTTATTATTTAAGTGGACTGTTAGGCCACACTCTTTGTTGTTTACGAAGTATTTCCACCAGAATCGCACCTTAATTGCATTTTCTGCATATCTCAAAACGGTTATCCCTCATTTCCTGGCAAATGGTTTTAAAAATGATCGAGACTTCAACAATCCTCTACAGCACAAGCAGATTGCTGTGGGAGTTCTGGGTGAACAGTCACAGCACCAACCATTTCAGCCCAGTCTGTGCTGGCCATTAGCCAACTCAGTCTGAAACAGTCCAAAATAAACCAGCAGCTAGCTCTCACAAAAACAAACCTAATTTAAATTGTATTCCATCTGCACCTAGACACAAACTGACCACTGAAAAAGTTGAAACTATTTCCAGAATTGCGAGTCACGTAAAAAAACACTGCTCAAAAAATAGCAAGAAGCTGCACAAACAGTTCATTGTAAATTATTTGCCTAGTTACGGTAAATAAACCAGGAGATTCCTTCCACCCCCCACCAAGATTAATATCCCAAATGCTTCACAGAGAATATAAAGAAAAACACCTGAAAAAGAAAGCAATTTCCTATAGACATGCTACATTTCTCAATGTTTAAATCAATAACAAGGATTCCTGGAAATGAAAAGGCTCATTATAATTAAAACATAATGCTAGAATCAGAAAGATTTTTATTTTTTTTTTCCTACTTGGAGTCTGTCCCAAAAACTTTAAATCAACATTACTTGGGATTATAGCCTTCAAGAACCCGGGAGGCTTGAAATGGCAAGTTTTCATGGCAAGAAAGATTATGACATCTGCACTTGAACACACATAGTCCGCTGTACTCTCTCATCCATCCCTCCCCTTAGACAGCCCATCCTGGAGATAATAAACTATGTTGGAGAAATTTGAGCTATACCCAAATCTGATAACAAATTTAAGTATTTTACCATATAGAGAAAAAAACTGAGGTATTGAGATAATAAGTTAGAAAACAGTAAGTCAATATAAGCAGTGAGCATTAAGTAAACAGATGATTTATCTGAGCCTCTAGTACAGATTAAAACAATTCCCCACATCACTCTCAAATACCTTTCAGGTCTTGCATGATCACTAGAACACCACGAGCATGTACATATTGATTTTTACATAGTTACTTTTTCTAGTTATTGAACAGAAAACTGCTAATCAAGTTAGTAAGAAAATAAACAAATGAAGAAGAATGTGTAGCTCCAAACTGTATGTAACTTTTAAAGTTACAGAGTGTAAAAATCCATTTCCCATATAAAGCTTGCTCAAAGTGCTGAAGGAAAATTCAGTAGCAGACATTCCAAGATGAGCTGGTAACAGAGTTTGAACCATGCACAAGCTCCAGGCCTGCCCTCATAGCCCTGCATCTTCCTTGTAGGATTCCTTCAGTGACCCTAGCATGGGTGTGAGAGGCCTTAGTGGCTGCCATGAGCTGGGCCCTTAGCTGCTCTCAGCATTCTCTTGTCACACACAGGAAGAGAAAAAGAAAAAAAAAAAAAGTGTTCAAAACCCCTTGTGCTCCCCTGCTTTCCACAATAGAAAGAAGGCTATCTGGCATCCAACAAGGATGCTCAGGCATAGCCATGCTGTGAGCAGTAATCTGGCACTCACAGCAGCCCTGTCTCCATGCTTCCATCTGCAGACACAGCAGGCAATGGGGGGCTGTATGGCACAGTGCCTCACTTCAGCTCTCCAGCATGTACACGGAGTTCTCTCACTAAGTGCTTTCCTCAAGAGCCTGTTTTCCAGCTTTCTCCATGTCACTGTTATTTCATGGAAGGAGATCACACTCTGGTCTCATTGGCCATATTATTTCTGGAGCTGCTTTTGCCAGTCCCCCAGCTCCCAGCCCTCAGCCACATCCCACGCTACCGCAGCAGAATGAGGGATGGATGCACGTTTGCCTGATTGCCTGAAAGTTTGTCAGCTCCAACAACATTTTTTCACCCCCTTGAGGCAGCAGAACTATGAGCAACTCTTACATCTGTAAATCCTTTTTAAAAAGCAGTGATTGCTCCAAGCAGAATCTACTATTTTTATGAATGAAAAAAATGGGAGCAAACATTCTCAAACAAACAGAGGGGCATGCAGCTTTCAGCACGTCACATCAGCTACTTCTGTGTGCACACCCAAGCTAAAATGTAATGACAACAAGCCAGGTTTGCTCACCATTCAACAAACATTACAATCAAGTCCTCTTGATCAGCATAGCCCTGTATGCCTTCTTTCAGCAGTCGGACTTTCTGCCCTCCACCAATGGAGTTCGCCAACTCACCACCTTTCCACTCTTCACCTTTTCCAAGTACCTGAAATAAGTAAAAAGTCTTTTTTTTTTTTTTGCTGGTACCAAAAAACAAGAGGCTTTTGAAAGCAGACCCTTATTGAAAACAGATGTTAAAGCAGAAGCAATGCATTAAAGCACAGCAAGCCAGCATTTCCAGCATCATAAGTTTTCCATGTCTGAAGCAGCATTCAGCACGATGACATCACTGCAAAAACATGAGACAAATTTCTTAACCAAATAAGAATCAAGCAATTGCCTGCTACCACTGTTTATTTAAACACATTTCCATCAGAAAAAGGAAAAAATGAATAATCATTTCAAAACTTGTATTAGAGGAACATTCTGAATAAGATGTTTAGAAGACAATTTCATCATTTTAGGAACAGGAAGTATCAAAGAGCTTGAGGGGTCAGGATATTACTAATACAAATTCCAAGCTCCAGTATTCCTGAAATACCCCCAGAACACTTTCATATAAATGAAAGATAGATTCCCCAATTTACAACTGGCTGCTAAAATCAGCTAAACAACATTTCTCTGTAGCCAAGTGCCAATTTTACCCTAATATTTTTGTGGGTTTTGAGCATTTGAAGGATAAAAGATTTTTGGAACTCCTAAAACCTGAAAGAACTGAATTGCACGCTGTTTCAGACAAATATGCAAAGCTAATAGGTGTATGCAGAGCCGGGGCTCCTCAAGTGCTTTAGAGCAACATTAACTTTAGGAAAGGTTTTCTCAGGTTTTCAAGTTCAACAGCAAAAGTCAAACTTCAGAGACCAAATCATTTCTTAATTACAGTTCAGACACTGTGGTGAGTAAGCAAGCAGAAAAATGTCATAATACAATCCGAATTCCTGGATTTTTTCTTTTGCAGACAAAAATTGTGTGGAAAATTACAAGATAGTTAGAGCTTTTGCTTTTTCCCAAGGTCATGTAGAGGCCAACTTCAGTACGTGGAGATGGGGAACAAGACATAAGAGGCTAGGAAAATCAATAAAAATGTTTTGTACTCTCATAGTTACGGGGTCTTGGGAAACAGAAGGAAGCTTGCAGTTGTGACCCTCCCTCCTTCTCCACAGCAGGACTCCCACCTTGGTTAAGCAGGATGAGAACACTCACCACCTCCTGTGCTGCCAGTACAGCTTCCAGCAGCAGTTGTGCAGCTGCTCAAAACAAACAAGTTGCACTGCAAGGCCAGACTAGATGATAAATCATGACAGAATGACTGAGGGACCTGACCACTGTATCTACTAATCTCCTTTCACTCCCATGGGAAGGTTTCAACAGATTCAGTTATTACTGCAGTGTTTCTACCTTAAAGGTTGTGTAGTATGACTATCTGGCATGAGAACATACAGTACCTTCACTGTGTAGTTGAAGTGCTTTGCAGTCTGCATGAAGCGATGAAAGCCGTCGGTTTCTTTAGTTGCTACAGTAAAAACTAGGAGGTTATCTATGAGAGAAAAACAAGGAACATATATTAAGTTTTCAGGCCACAGTTACAACAAAAGCACACTGTATCAAGTGACTTCACAATTTGCCTACATCTGATTTCAAGAGACAAGGCAATTACACTGTCGTGTTATACACATGAGACATCACCAGACAAGAAATTCTACAAAGATGCTGTATTTAAAATTATCTCCAGGAAGAGGAAGCAGAGAAGTATCTGCTCTGTAAACAGCTAGCTCAAGAGATAAAAACAAAGCTAGTATGACCTCTGGACAGGAAGGAATCTTTGAAACAAAAATAATTTATTACTACTCCATCTGAGCTAATCCTGTCACCTCTTGTCTCACGAGTGAGTGGTAGCAGAGCCCTTCACCCAGCAGCGAACAGTGGACACCAGAGTCCGGCAGGCTGCACTGACTGCTTTTAAGTCCTTGGACAGTGACAAAAGAGCATGGGTTTTTATTTTATTCAGAATCTGGTGTCGGCGAATTATACTAGTGCTAATTTTGCCTTCTTACTGAATGCAAACAAACGACCATGCAACCAATTTCCTTTTTATATCCCAGTGCTTTTGACACAGTTCAAGCAGGGCCAAGAATTCCCACTAAACAGCTTGATATTTTCCTGATTATACTATTGAACAACATTCTGTACTATTTGCAATATGCTCCATAATCATGGTACACAATTTCAAAACTATCGAAAACATAAGATACCTATCCAACATTGAGTACTTAATCAGATCTGCCTGGATCCCAGACCACATTGTAGTTCCTCCATTTGGTCTCAGTTCAAGCAATGGCTGCCCTCTAAACAGAGCCCAGGAGACCAATCCATGCAGAAAGTAAAATGAATCACCTCTAATCGCTCTACCAGACACAGCACCAGTTGTTGCCTCACTTTTCTATAAAACATCCTCTGTGTTTATCCTGCCCAGCACAGTAACGTTTGCTAGAGATGGCTGCTGTGAAAAAACATTCCTATTAACCCTTTGGTCTTTTCCACTAGTTCAAACTTTGAAGTCTATAGGCACAAAAGAGTTCATCCTGAGTGTACTCAAGTCTGTCACAGCCTGCCATTTTATTTTTGTTTGAAGCCCACAAAATTGACACACAAGGAAGCAGCCTGCTTCCCTTTTTCTTCATATAAGAAATGCACTTGCTAGAGATGACAATGTTTGACAGACAGGTATCAGTGTACTTCAGAGGTTAGCGATGAGCAGTCAAGCTAACAATAATAGTTGTATTAACACAGACATAACATGCAGAGCAACAACACCACCAAAAAAAAAAAAAAAAAAAAAACACACACTAATAAAATTCTTATGAAATCTGTCCAATACAACTGCAGCAGGAAATCTATGGAGATTGGTCTCAGGAGCCACTGATTTCTTCTTTTCCTCCCCCTCTCCCTGTGAAATGAGACAGATCAGGTATGAGTCACCAGCTTACTCCCACGAGCACTCCAGCCAGGTCAGCCAGTGATGTGGTAGTCCATTCTCAGCTGTAGCCATCAGAGTACCATGAAGAATAGCAAAGATAAGGAAATCATATACAGTGCTTTCTTACGAACCTCAGTTTTCCTTGATGTAGACACGGTTTCTCCAAGTCTTCAAACATGAGATTGTTTCTTAACCTCACTCTTAGCCAGTCAGACACCAAATTGATGTAAACCTAACACAAGGACAGCCCCGCATACCAGTACCTACTCAAAGGAAAACACTACCTTGTTTGTTATGAACAGGCCTTCTACAGCTGTTACTTGGTGCTGCCCAAGTTAATTATTGACTCTACCATACCACACTGATGCTCTTGCAGTGCAACATGCATCAAAGAAACTGGGAGTATTTGAAACTCTTCAATCAACTTGGTATGGACACCTAAACATTATGGAAAGACAGCTTTAAAAGGTATATTATTCCACATTTTTCCAGCTTGAGTGCTAGCAGCCTTTTGTGGTCAAGAGTCAGAAGAAAATCCCATGTGCACACCTAAAAAGAGTAGGAGGGCCATCCCAGAGAATTCCAGTGCAGTGCACTCACAGACACACTGACTCACAGATGGACGTAAGTTCAGCGATAATGGTATGATATGTTCTTCTAAAGGTTATGCAATTTAAAGTAATTCTACAGAAGTCACCACAGAATGGATGAAGAACATGACATCTTAGATTATGGCTAAAACAGCTGGAGACAGAGGGCAGGATTTTTTTCTATGGAACAGATTAAGGAAAGTCTGATCATACTAGACTGCACCACCAAGCCAAGTGAATCCATTGCTGACAGTTTCCTAGGAGAACAGTCAAGCACTGACTGTAACTGCAAAGTTTGGTTTGGGATAGACATTTTTCACACCTCCTGCTTCCTGAGGAATGCTCAAAGCAAGGATTTCAAAATCAGTACTTGACAACATGGTTTAAGTGATAAAATGTGAGCTACAACAGATTGATTTTATTTTCTCCCTCACAGTCACTAAGAGTAACAAAGACTGTCTTAAACAAATGTACAAATTCATTTTGGCAAAACAATCTACTATTCTTTATGGGATACTGTTACTCTTTTTTAATGAAACTCACAATAATTCCACCTATACCTTGTTCACGCCTTTCTGCAAAATTCACACTGCAAAATTCACACAAAAACAAAAGGAACCTGTATTGTGCTTATACCCAGTAAGTCTAAATAAGCTGCCTGAGTCAGTTTTGCAAATAGTCACAGAACAGACAGGAAGCTATTTTTATAAAGGTACTATTTACTTTGGAAATGCTTTCAGTATACTTGCCGATGGTCAGTTTTTTAGAGTTACAGATGAAGAGTCTTAAAAGGTGTTATTTCAGTGTCACGGGATTTTGTGTGCATCTGGTATTTAAACAGATTTTAAATGAAGAAGAACGCTGTAACTACAGAATTTAGAATCTCAGATTCTAAGTAGACTTTTCACAGAATATTTAGTCTTTGGAGTTTTGTTTATTTTGCTTTCTTGCTTGGTTGTGTGTGCACGTGTGAGTATGCATCTGCTTTAAATAAAAGAGCACACAGAGTATGATTTTATTCTGTTAACAGTGTGCCTGAAGAAAAGTACATTAAATGACAGTTACCTTGGCACATTATATAGGGGATTACCAACCTAATGAGGAAAGTAGCTTCTTTTTCATCTCACTAGCAAGATATTACAAAAACGTTAACATAATTCCTGCAGGCTCCTCTGACTTGATTTAAAAGTGATAACTTGCACCCGTTTTGCTGGCAGAAAAGATGTATGTTTCTTCCTGCGGAAGTGAGCAAAGAGGATGCTTCTGAGCTTTACTCCTTTTTAACTCTTTAACATCATTCACTTTTGAATCTATTCCTCATTCCCACTTAGGTACAATGAATGGGATCAGTGTTCTAATGGTTTCCGTCCAATAATACGTATCCAAAGCAACTTTCAAGAACTCACAATAAGGTAAGTGTGCAAGTAAAACACAGATTCTGGGGGATTGATTACATCCAAGCCTCCACTCCACTTTCACCATGTGCTTGGCTACACCTGTTTTAGATGCCATCACAGCCCATGCCACAGCAAGCAGTTCTGATGGCAGGAGCAGCACCTGACTTGCATGGCTGCAGTACAAAGCTGCCCCCAGTTTCTCAGACCCTGAGTTATGGCTGTGGCCAGGTGTTTGTTTTCCAGTGAGAGAGACAAAAAAATCCTTCGCTCAAACACCATGATGACTTCCGACTGAAGCAGTTCTCACTTTACTGTTGTTTGGGAGCAAACCCTGTCCTCCACACAGCGGCCTGCCCACAAGGAGCTCTGCGGTATGGTCTAACATCCACACTTGAGCTACCCAGTTCCTTCAGACTGACTATCCCTCTCACAGCAGGGATGAAGGCACATTCAGTAGTGTTTTCCAGAAGTAACAGCATCCCCCAAATACAAACACAGATGAAACCACGAACGCAGCAGGCAGCCAGCACCCTGCCCATTCTCAAGCCTGGGCTGCGCAGCAGCACGCAGCCCACAGCCACCATGGCAGACACAGAGGATTGCTGCCTGGCACTCTCTGCCACAAGTGAAATCAGTCTGTGTGAAAAGGAAACGTAAACCCTACACAGAGGTTCAACAGGAAGGCATGGGAAAAAAAAAATTCGGAAGAGCTTCATGCCAGATATGAGGGTGCCGATGTTATTACAGTGCAATTATTCCAGACAGCTTTCAGATAGTTATGTTCACAAAGCAGCTGTTACGTTTTGAAAACAAGCCTGAGAGCACATGTTTGGCTACGGGAATTATACCCAGGGTCAGGCAGAACTCATTTTTATGTGCAAATTAGGAAACAGTTGAGTATTCAAGTTGTGAAAGACAACACTGCATAAAGAGCTAGTGCAACATATTAGCAAACTCTATGACTGTTTATCAAAACACTTCACTCAATCTTTTGTGCTGCCACCATCAGGGATATGCCTCATAAATACGTATTCCCAGAAATAAAAGCTGTAAACCAGTGCCTTTGTTTTCACCAATTTGTGTGGGGGTCTCAGCCAGCACTGCTATGGCAGGACTGCACTCAGTTGCAGTGACCTCTCTGCTCATACCTTGGCAGAGGAACACACAAAGAGCTGCAGTTGCTCCTTGTACACCCACATGGTTCTTATTTATCATGAATGAACACTGACAGAGATTACTACATAATTTCTACCAGGGGTTATGGGCACTAGTACAGTAGCTTTAAAGCAGCCAAAAATGAGGATATTGCTTGCAGCCATATGGGAGCTGACATTCTGCTCTTGGATTCAACTGCCGTGGACTTCTCTGGAATAGGAACGTGCAGTAAGATCAAAGGACATATGTGCATAATGCTGCATTATGCCATCAAAACCTTTGCCTATCTGTAAAATAGTAAACGATGACTGGTTTTTGATCCGTGTCCTAGTGCCTATAAAACACAGCCTTATTGCAAAATGATCCACTAAAGGCTTCCAGCAAACAAACGAACAAATTGCTATAGGCTACGGAAAAA